CATTTGTTTAATTCCATTTCTACTTTTACGGATAATTAATGCGGGTCATTTCAGATCCAATATTCGAATGTGATAGTAACATCAAGTATACAGGGGATAACGTGTATTGCTTGCTTGCTTTTATGATGAGGGTGACCACGGGGTTTACAAACATTGGAAATATTATATCTATTGTTAAACAAATTTATTTGGGGTCCCGAAGTCACGGGATCCAATAAAGATGGCAATGGTAATGAGGAACCCCATTTGGACTTTCTACACCGGGCCACTGAGAACATAGCTATGCTTCTTTCATATTCATGTAAGTTTAATACTAAGTATTTTTATTATTAAATTGTATTAAGTAAACTTACCGGAGCATTATCAGGTGCAAAAGCAGTAGAATAATAAAATGCTACATTTTTCTCCATTAGTTGCATGAGTTCGCTTTCTGATGCCAATTTGTTTACAATATGTTTGTCAATGACTTCACTTCTTAAGAAACTATGGGCAGAATCTATAAGTACCAGAGAACCCTGAAATCCTTGATTTTCTAGCATCAAAGCAATTTCCAAGGCTATGGTTCCACCAAAGGAATAACCAAGTATTTTAAAGCGTTTGGTCTGAAATTTCTGCAACTCCTGTGTTACGAGCTATACAAAATAGTAAGAATTATTTGCCTTTAGTTTGTAAAAATACTTATCAAGTTGATTAAACAATAGATTGGTTATAATATAGATATGCAAGCAGTAAATTCATGTTTCATTCAGCTGACACGAATACTTACAGGAAAAACCTCAGAAGCGATGTCTGCAAGAGTGCACCCCCTTTCACGAAAAGGCAATGGTACATAATGTATTAGGTGTTCTAGTTTTGCTGCAAAAGGCTCCATTGATTTAGATATGCCTTCGATACCACCGAATAGTAGCACAGGCAACTGATTATTTGATTTCTCTGATATTAGCGAGGGTAATTTTATTATTTTAAAAGACAGTATGTCTTCATCTTTTAACACAGGACTATATTGCTTAATTATATTCAATGGAACCGCTTCTTCTGTAATAAACATAAAACTTCATAAGCAATATTATTTTAAACATGACGTTTATTGAGATATCCGAATTCATGGCAAGGAAAATGGATATGGATAATTTGGAATGTTTATGAAATTGTAAGATGTATATGCAATACTTTTCAATGGTTTTGGCACCCTTCATTTCATGATGACCATATCAACAACAAACATTCTTACAAAGAGTTTCTTTGAACTATATTTTTATTTCATTGAATATACTAATTTAATATGTAGTACAAGAAGATACTTACTTTTGGTAGTGGGTTTGGGAAGTTCTTCATTGCTTCCAATATTTCCTGACAGTTTCTCTAACTGTGAGAACGTAATATCTCGAATTTCTAATGGTGTTAGAGTGATACCGAACTCTCTTTCCAGCCCTTGCTGAATTTCCGCTCCCATCATTGAATCGAGCCCTAAATCAGCTAAGGGTACATTGGAGCTTACTTTCTTTTTATCTTTGAAACCTGAAAACATAAATAATTAAAATTGCTTTGCATATAAATTGCTGTCCATGTACATGTTCCATACTCATCTTTGCAAGCACCTAGAGGCACAGGAAATAATATTGAATAGATCGTGATCTCCTAATCTATATTAAGTTAATTGGATCATTTTCGATATTTCCATAATGTTCACGTGAAAATTGAAATAAAATTGGAGATTAGCTGCTATCAACTATTATATTCTTGAGCTTACTGTAAAAACCGACGAACATTGTGACAAGAATTTTTGTCCCACAATTTGCAAATTTATTGGTAATTCCAAATTTCTAAAATTCTTTTTAAAATTCTCCGAAATCACTCATTCCGATGAGATTACCAAGGCATATATAATAACTTCTCCAATCGTCAGTGTTTTCAATTGAATTGCAAGCTCTACATATTTGCTGATCGTCTCTAACTCAGGTTTCTTTATGTTATGGGACAAAGGAATTTCAATATCAATTATAGAGGCTATTATATTGTTTTTATCAATGAAGAGGATGTCAGTCATATAAAAATCCTCTGTTTTGTACGTGATGACTGATATCAAATCGGTCTTGGTACATCACACGTTTCTCTCTCAAACAGGGGCTGGACAATGTATCTTACATGGCGTAAAAGAGTCAAGCAGCCCGTGTTTAACAGCAAATTCTTGATGTATCAATGAGAAGAGCCAGCACATTGCCGGCCTCCAGGTGAAAGTTACCACTCACCCTACCCTTAACTGATGTAAGGGAGTGGTCAACCATGATTTTACGTCTGGGAGTTATGAAGAAATGCTCTTATTTTTCAAGAGCGCAGGTGTCACCGAGGTTTTCAGGATCAAAAGGAAGGAGAACGGGGAAGAGATCCCCACTGCCACTCTGATCCTGACGTTAAATCTCCCAGCCCTCCCTGAAATGATATGCGGTTTTTATAATCTTCGTTTGAAGCAGTATTTCCCGAACCTATTGCTCTGCTTTAAATGCCTTAAAATGCTTTAAAAGGTTCGGCTATACGCAACAACGCTCCTTGGCAGTAAGTCCTATATTCGTCAAGAGTGGCAGATCAGAACACGGAGTAGTCTGATCCCTGCGCTACAGCATTGCACTGAGTGAACCGTCAAGGAGACCATGCGGCAAACTTTAACAAGTGCCGTACCCTTTTATAGGATAGAGAGGTCCAAAAGATCCGATTGAGCGAGATGTCCTTTCTTAAAGCCAATCGCCGTTACTTGGTGAGAAACCTTGTATATCTCTCTTTCTCCAACACAGTGAAGAAGCCTGCGAAGGCAACATGGAGCTGCCAAACCGAAACTTTACCATCTATGTGCGATGCAGCTTTTCAGGTCTCCTTTGGATAATCGACTCACGCTACCACCTCTACCGTTCCGTCGGTAATGAATCCCAAAAAGCATATAATGCAACAAACACCCAAATTCACGCGGCAACGATATTGGGTCCAAAATCTCCAGATAGTAGTCACACATCTCACGGGATGAGAATTCCTCTTCAACGCTGGCCGCCCTCTCTAGCAGTAGTCAGGACGATTCTCCTGTGGACGAGGATCTGCCTGCAAGCGTTCTAAGCAGAAGGTGAGGAGGAAGAAAAATAAGAAACCCACCTAAATTTCAATCATGGCTCTCTCGTGGAATATAAACGGTTTCCGTTCCCATTTAGAAAAATTAAGATTAATAATATCCCGCCATAACCCGATCATTAAATGCTTCCAGGAAACTCTTCTACCCCAACATTCCATCTCCTTTCGCGGGTTATGCACTTACCGGTTCGACCCAGATGACGGTCTTCGCGCTCTTTCGCGGTATTTATTCGCGACTGCTTGCTCTGCGATCAACACAACATCCGAACTGATCCCGGGAGCATGTGCGTTCGACTGAATTTACCTTCAGTTCCTCACTCTGTGCAATATATATCTTCCACCGGCACAAACCATATCACAGAAATAGCTTGAAGATGTAATCTACCAGCTGCCTCAGCGTTGTTGGAGACTTTAATGTCAGATTTCTTTCTTGTTGGACACTTTCATGCCCACAATCCCGCTTGGGGTGGTACGAGGTCATCTCCGAGAGGTACTATTCTTGAAACTATTATTGACCAGCAACACTTAATTCTTCTAAATTCTGGGAATTATACTTACTTTTCCGTGGCTTCAAACACTCTCTCGTGAATCGATCTGGCGCTCTGCAGACTATCTCTATCTACCATCTTAGGAGTGGACTGTTCTTGATGACTTTCACGGGAGTGACCATTTTCCTACTGTGGGCCACTTTGACATTCCTAATTTAGACATTATACACACATCTCGCAGGCTAATCCATCCTAAAATACCAGACGACTGTTCCAATAATAAAGATGCCTTTGGTGGCCCAATTGACGCTCTTCTTCGCGCAGCCACCGTTGCAATGGCAAAGTCTGCGTGCCGGGCAAGACTCACCCCTGTGCCTTGGTGGAATGTTGACCGTGCAATCCCGGCGCGTGATCGAAAGCGGGCACTGGCAAGGCACTGACTAGGTACTCCAGCACCGCAAATATGATTGATTCCACAAGAAAGCGGGCCAGAACTAGGGTAGAAATACGGAAAAGTAAGACTGCTTCCGGGAGAGCTTATATTTCCTCTCTTTCTTGCCACACCCCCTCTAAAGTAGTATGGCAAAAGGTCCGACAGATCGGAGGAAGACTTTCCCCAACAGGACATCTTGTTCCTGTCAACTTCCCGTCTACCCTGAACTTTCATCATGAGTTGCAAGAGTTCATAGTATGTGTTTCTAAGTAAATTACCAAGATAGGGTTTTTCTAATTTTAATCAATTTGAATATCTCTCTGCATATAGCATTTCTTTCTAGTATATAGTCATCACCCACTTTGCCAGTCCAGGAAATTCTCAACATTCTTCTGATCATCTAAATCTTGAATGCCTGCAGTCTATTATTCGATGCTGTTTTTAGTGAACATGTTTCAGCGCCATATAAGAAAACTGCTGCCACATAATATTTTGCCACTCTCTATCTGAGGGTAAAACTCAAGTCTCTGCTACAGAGACTATACCTCATTTTGTTGAATGTGGACCTCACTATTTCCATTCTCGTTTTTATTTTCAAAATTTATGTCCACGACTCATTTACAATTTGTTTCAAATATTTGTACTGAGTAACCTGTTCAATAAGTTGGTCGTTGACGAACAAATGGTCTTCCACCTTTATTACTAATTAGCATGGACTTAGAATCTTCGCAAGTTCCATTAATTCTGTTTATTATTTCTTGCAGATTCGTAGCAGAGTATTATCTATGTAACTGATATTAGAAATACGAATACCATTAACTTTTACTCCCAGATTACAATCCTCTAAGGCATCTTTAAAAACATGTTCTGAATGCAGGTTAAATAGCAATGGAGACTGTATACACCTCTGTCGAACTCCTTTCCTCAAATCCACTTCCTCAGTAAGAATCTGAACAACTCGCACTTGAGCAGTTTGTCACCAATAAACGTTCTTTACGTTACGTATATCATTAAAATCTAGGCCAATAACGTCTAAAATATACATAAGCCTATCGTGTTTCTCATTTCCAAACGCTTTTTTTAAATTCATAAAACTTAAATTTCTTGTCGGCCTTGATCCAAACATTTCTATACTAAACCTTGACGGACAAACACGGCTTCCCGTGTTCCAAAAGCATTTGTAAAATGATCTATTTCGTATTTCATATTCTACCTTTCACCAAATATTATATATGATACGTAAAAATATATTGAGTAGAAGTTTCATCAAACTTATCGCCCGATAATCGTCAAATATTTATGACCCTATTTGTCTTTGGAGCGTGGCAATCACACATTTTAGCCAATAAGTAAGTAGATATCGTGTCACATATATTGTCTAAAATATTTGTAAATTTATCAATACTCGCATCGTTCAAAAGTTTTAAAATTTCTACGTTGATGGCATTCAAACCTTCAGCTTTGCCATTTTCACTAGACATAATGGCCTTCTGAACTTCTTCCTTTAGAATATGTGGTCCAGTTCCATCTATTAACTCCGGTATAGTTCATATTCTCGAACTTCATCAACAAATTTTTCAACATAGTTCTTCCAAACAAAACGTTTGTCTTCTTTACGTACTGCAGCATTCCAATCATCCTTCAGAATCTTACGACAGCGCTTTTTGCATTCCCGTATACGTATGTATATACGGAGTAATGTAAGGAATATATAGAGAAAGTAATGTAATGCTGCAAAAATCGATTTCGAGATTTCAACCGAAATACAAGTTGACGTGTGGAGTTCCCTGATACCGAAAAAGTATTTTTTTAACAACGGTCTGTCGATTGGTCTGTCCGTTTGCAAGCCAATAGCGCCTAAACCATATGTAGGATTTTGGATATTCCCGGTCGATCTAGCTCCACTCGAGGCAGTACGATTTTAAAAACTTTCTTTGTTATTTGGTGGTACTTAACACGAAACCTCCAGTAAATTTTCATAAATTTCGCAAAAAGCCTCAAAATATTTGCTTTAAATTTCTTGTAAAAGAAGTCAAATGCACTTATAAAGGTGGGATATGTCCGATTTTCATGGTAAACTCTGAATTTCTGAAAATTGCAAAATTTTTAAATTATTTTTGCGCATCTTCCTTCAACTACAAATTTGAAGATAGGATGTGTTCCTTCAAATAACATTTTTTCTCTATAGTGAATTCATTCATTATGGTCATATACATTTTTTTTGAAAATTTTAGCAGTTTTCGCGCAATATTGCGTACAGAAGGCGCAATTTTAAAAAAATTACAAAAACAAAAATTTCCCCCAAATTCTTTCCTTTACACTTTTCGTAAGAATAGTGCTAAATGTATTCTATGACATGACATAAATATCAGTTTGCTCTATTCTTTCGTTTTTTCAAAAATTACAAATATGTAATTTTTTGAATTGTCTCTCACGTCGTTAATATATTATTATAGGCACAGTTGTCACTTTACTGAAGTTCCACTGAGATGCGACTTCATGGACGAGATCGGTATACTTCTGGATCTTCTCTTGATATTTTCCCACAGTGATGACTGGTTCACCCTAGAGGGATAATCTCGGTGTCCTGTCATATTCCATTTCAATCCACGTCCATATCTGGCGTTGTGGGACACAGCAGATGACCAGAAGGGCTAGGCTTTCAAAAGTCCTCTAATTTGTGCCTTTGAGGGGAAGCTTTGGACTCTTTCATATCATTTACAAGCCTTTACCCTTTGGCATATTCCTGTAAGAATTCTTTCTGGGTTTCTGTTAAAAAGAGAATTCTGTGCTTCTCGTAGTGCAATTCCTGTAGCGTCGAAAGGCGTTTTGTTAGACGCCAAAGCTTCTTTGTCGTAGGGTGTCAAGATGTTCGTTTATTATTGAATTCAAGGCGTGCTCGTATGTATTTTTGTTTGATAAGATGTTATTTACTTTCTTTCCTCAGTTTTCCTGAGGTATTTCCTTTTTTTTAAATTGCGTGATCCTCCAATATTTTTCCTAGTGCTTTCTAATACATTAACACCAGCCGTCTTTCAAGGAAGGCATTCTTTTTTCAACTTCGATCTATTGTGGGCAGCTGCTACGACGGCGAATAGCTTTGGAACCGTTACGATCGTTAAAGCACAACCGCAAGCAGCAATAAATTGCTGTGTGTACTTCTTCGAAGATGGTCTTTGTTGTAGATGTTGTGGCAGTACTTTTCTCATTCAAGACGCTGATTGCTCTTGCTAATTTCTTCAGAGGCAATTTGTCCTGTGAAATGAGATAGCAAGTTTCAGTGGGTCAGTTCCTCAAGATTTGCAAGTGCGAATGCAAATTCATTGCGAATTTGCAGCCTCTTCACTACTCTATCATACCCATACTTTCTGACATGCTTGTCCCCATTGTCCAGCCTGAGTTTGCCAGCTGATTCTCCAACCTGTCCTCGGATTACTTAGGTTTTCAGGAGTTAAGTATGTTTCTCTCACTTCTTCTGATTGCTTCAAACTGGTGCAAGAGGAGATTTTTTCTGAAACAATTGCTCGCGGCTGGTCCGTAACTTCTTGCTCACTCCACATTCAGATCAGGAAACGGTGAAGAAATACTTTGATGTAATTTTGTCGGTAGGCCCATAGTGTCAGTTCTCGCATTTTGGAAATGATTAGTAATTTCACGCATGGATGAAGGTATTATTTCTGGTATCCACTTCAATCCTTCTGCGTTGCTGCGCTGCGGAGAGAAGTGGTCTCTGAAGGCAATAGATTGCTTCTCTGGGAAGCACTTGCGGAGTGCAGCTATAAGTGGAGATTGGATGGGTGCTGCTAATGTTCGCTGTAGTATATGTCGGGGGGTTATCCCCGATCAGGGCCCGCCTGTTCAGCTCCTGATCACCACGGCTGGCATGCTGTCATCTCCAGCGAGTGGCTCCGAAGGTGCCCCCGGCGCTCCCCAGGCAGCGGCTGTTTTCTGAGGCTGACGACGCATATTCCGTGTCTCCATATCTATATGAGTGTGCATCGCCCTGTTTGCACGCCAACGCTTTCTGACGTTGCCCGTCTCCCACGTGGCTAAGTTCTCAATTGCTCGGACGTAGGGCTGGACTTTGAGAGACATTATTATTATTATTATTATTATTATTATTATTATTATTATTACTTAATTTTTTGTTCAAATTATAAAAACCTTTTTTTGTCAAATTAAATTGAATATTTCATTTAAACATATTATTGAATACAATGTATTCGTCGTTCTTTCTTAAGAGAGGAAGCCGCCTCTGTAGTAAGAGGTCTCTTCTAACGATTTTGAACTATAATAAAATTAGATACGGACACGTTGCCAAATCATTTCTTTTAGAACTGACAAAGTTTTTTAAACAAAAGACAACAACACTGTATCCTTGAATTTTGGGCTTTAAATTCAAGCTTATCTTCAAAACCTGATGGGTATATGTTTTGTCAGAGACCACTTTTTTCCGACCAGGACAGATACGAATCGCTCGTATTGCCTGATATTGCGAATTCCTTGGCAGGTCACATGGCTGAAATCGTTAGGACAGTAGCACCGTAGTGGACTCGGACCAGAAGATCACGGGTTCGACTCCCGCCTCGGGCATGGGTGTATTTGTGTATGTCTATATGTGTGTGCCGCCTTTCATCATCATTATCACCATCATCATCTCATCGTCCTGGGATAAACACCTTGGGGATTCAAAATTGTGATTCAGCTAAAATGCTGATCTCTCCCCCCCCCCTAGAAAGGTACATGCACCTTCTGAAGCAGGATGCACGCGTGGTCCGAGTTGGCATATACGCGAAAAAAAAGCAAATAACTAGTCTTTTAATAAATTGATGAACGAATTTATAATATGGTGGATGGGCTTTCCTTACCATGGCACGATGACAAAGAGAAAAGTATGTCTTATATTGAATAATATTCAATAATTTAAACCTGAAACTTTAGCAGTTAGTCAATTTACAATCATGCAATAATTGGAGGCAGTTTTCTTTGCCAACCCGGAAGCATTGCAGAATAGATGGCTTACCCATTATACTCGCGACGAAACTGGCAGGATCATTCATTTGCCTCGCGTGTTTTTTCTCTGCAAGTACTAATGATGACAAGACAGGGTAAGGTAGACACAGGAAATCATCCATCACCTCGAGACAAGAAGAGATGCGTTGTGGCAGTGTACCACCTGAACAGAAGAAGTTAACCATTATTATCCATAACATTTTCATGCAGCATTTGCGTTACGTCAATTTATTATCTGCTTTGCGTCATTCTAAGGGAAGAGTTCCGTGCTCTGAGGTACCAAACTTCCTGTTCCATACCATGTTACGGTTTCACATCCATATGTGTTTACATTTGCGTTCAGTCAGGTTAATGTTCAATCCGACACAAACAAGTTCATTAGGGATATCGGGGTTCAAGCAATTGACAAACTCAATCCTTGGATAATTTTTCAAGTGTCTCATTTCGTCGAAAACATTTGGCCCTTATCCAATTAATCTCGTCAGAGCAGTGAAACCATTCACAAAAATTGTTGGCAGAGTTCATATCCATTAATTCATTGATATGATTAATATTTTGTGAATGGTTTTGTTGTCATTCACATGTCAATTGTGTGTTGACGGGACCTTGGTGATGAAATAAAATATTTCAAAAAAACTCGAAGGGTTGTTAAACAACTTCATAAACCTCAAACGTTGTGTTACGAAAATAATCGGCGACAGATCGACAGCGATTTTGTTGCGCTTGCTTTGTGCAAGTTGCTGAACGAGCACGTCGGGGGTGGTATTTATCTCGTCAATAATACTATAAAACCAAGCGTGTTGTTTGTTAACCAATGCAAATAATTTTCTGTTACAGGGGAACGAAAATATAAGGTCTAATATATTGCCAACAAGACTCTGTACCTTTATTGATCATTAAACTATGTATACTAAAACAGGAGGGTAGGGATTTTGGAGCTGAAAAACACGGGAACAGATTCCACTTTCACGTCATTCTCATACTTTTTACTGTTTTTATCGATAAGCAAATAAAACATTAAGGAGGTAAATAAATAAAAAAGATTCAGACGTAATAGTCGCGGGAGGTGGTTGTCGGGCGGAGATCTCAGAGTAATATCCTAGGCAGAGGAAAGAGTGGTGTTTTATTTCTCACTTGTCCGGTGAAACAGCGACACGTGGAAGAGTTTGATTGACCAAACGGCAGACCGACATCGCTTGGACAATTGAGAGAAAAATGGAGACTTGACGTGTCATTCTCCCTAAATTGATATAATAATTATATAATCTAATGGAGAATGCACTATTAGTAAATATTTCGAATTAAGAAAAATTTAAATGTATCATATTCCACAAACATCATTATCTCTTAGCCGCGAATTAACATAAATTATTATTACAGCTTTGTTATATACCTTTTACTATTTATAAATACCTTTTATTCAATCGTGAGAATTCAAGCACACTGAAAATATTGAGGGCAGCGATTTAAATGAGGCCTATGGAGATAACTACGAATGTTTGAGGTCACTACTTCCGATAGTGATTATGCGTACATTGCCCTTGTGCATGATATCGTCTAGTGTTATTTCCTTTAATTTGGCATAAAAATGTAAAAACATATTTCTCACCGATTTCTATTTGCTCAGCGTTATCACGCGAATCCGCCAACAATCCCACGTCTCCCACGGCTCCCCACTGGATGGCAGTGGCGGGTAGGCCGTCAGCCTGACGAGCTCGCACAACACGCTCCATGACAGAGTTTGCCATTCCATAAGTGGTCTGCCCTGCGTTGCCTCGGCCGCAGGATACACTCGAAAAAACAACGAAGTGTTGCAAGCGAGGACATAGAACACGCGACATCTTGTCGAGCATTTTCGTCGTTGTCGCTTTGCTGCGGAAGGACTCTTGAAATTTCTCCTCCGTTTGGTTTTCAAACAAACCGTCTTGTAGCACCTGTATATTTAAATAAAAATAAAAATTATACAATGAATACTTCAGAATGAAGGTAAAATATTTGTTCTAGCCGAAGTAATGTGAATTTGGAAAGTCAATGTAAAATTCTGGACTGAAAATAAAAACGAGATAGTTCTGGAGGAAGTAGGTGAAGAGGCGTGCCTGTTGGAATGTATCGTAGTTGACAAGCAGGAAAGCAATGCTACTAAGTAATATAATTCCATAAAAGTTCAATTTTTTTTCTTTTCCATTTCTTCTTGGTCTCTTTTTCTGTATTAGATTCTACATAACGTGTTCTGACATCCGTTTCAATTTTGTTTTACCTATCTCTCCCCGTATCTTATTCATTATTAAAGATGGTATATTGGTAATTGGGATCCTTTTAAAATATTCGTACCATTTCCCCCCATTTTTAAAGTATGTTACAATGTCTCAACTTGACTTTTTTTTTTATGTTCATAGTCTTCTTTTCTAAAATACGCTTTCATGAGTGCTTCTCAAGAATTTCATTTTAGATGCACGGATTTTCGATTTTACTCATTAGGACTGCCTTCATATCCGGACATTAAGACTGGCCATTTTCGCGATAAAAAGTGTACAACACCATCAACTAAAATGTATAATAAAATATCAAAAAATAAACAAAAACCACAAAAGCACAAATTTAAAAAATTAGTTAAACGTGCCTCTTTTATACTCCTTCCCTTCACTTCATGCCCTTTCATTATCCAATAATTTATACATTAGCGGTAAGTATATGCACTGCGGTAAATATGGCCCTAGTTTTGTTGTTTGTAGTTTTGTTGTATAGTACTTGTTTTTTCCTTATGTTCAAAAACGTCAGGGCACTTCCCTTCGCATCATTGCACGCTACACATACGCTCTTGAGAACTTAGGAACGAGATTTCTCCTCTTTTCGCAACCAGGTCTTGGCAAGAAGAGCTTTTTTTTAATTTCACCAGTTTCCAGCGTATGGTTACTGTACTTTCTCTTTTCATGAAGTAAGGTGAGATAATAAAAATGAACGGTCCTAACACGCTTCCTTCAGGGACGCTGCACGTCACATTAATCTCTTTAAAATGGTAAAAGATCAATTCGAACTCGCTATGTCCTATCTCGGAGAAATTTTCTAATCCAGATGACTACTCGCAAGTTTTCTTTCGATTCGACAATTTTATTAAGAAATATATCGTGGTGTACTAAGTAGAAACCTTTAGAAAAGTCCATTTCCATTGCATCAGTTTTTTTCTCCTTGGTCAAGTTAATCGTAATAATGTCTTAACCAACAGTAGTTAGCCTGTTTTAAAGCCGTGTTTATCTTCAACGACGAAGTTATTCTTGTTCAATAAATGTCTCAAATAATCGGCAATTTGATAGCATTAATAAATAGGGGGGGGGAGAAATCATCCCGGAAAGTGCCTAAACTTATCATAAAATATTGATTGTATGTGTAAAATAATTGTTAAACAATTTGTCTACTGTTCTAAAACGTTTAAATTTAAAATGAGAATATTTTTGAAATATTCGGCAAACGTTAATTTTGTTTTTTTTTTATTCTCGAGGGCGAACTCAAGACGATTCTTGGAAGACCCACAGTACGCATATCGGCTCCTGCTCACCTGTACATTACATTCTAAATGTGGACATTGAATATTAATTGGAGTTTTCTGTATCTACCACTGCCAAGTTGAAAATGGCGGCGACAGGCCCCAATGAAGCACTTCTCTGCAAGAGTTGCTCGGCGCCTTCCAGTGTCGCAGCATCCCCCGTGAATATTTCCACATGACAACCGTCTCGTCTCCAGAAATGCAATTTGCGCACTTGGTAGCCAGTTACTACGCCGCGTCGTGATGTGAGGACGAGGTTCTTGGCTCCACGGCGTACTAACCAGTCGGCGATTTCCAATCCCATTCCTCCTAGACCACCTGTGAACACAAAGATCATCACGTAAACCGGCTGAGGTGGCTCAGGGAATCAACTGCTGCCTAGAGGAGAGTGTAGCGGTCAGCTGCTCTGATCGGTAGTTTTCCTTAGTTCTTCCGTTCAATAGGGAATGCCGAAGCAGTACCCTAACAAACGAGCTATGAACCGCGCGCAATCATTCCTTCTTCTTCCTTGTCTTGTCCTCACTCCTAATACACCTTTGCACTTGCATGCACTTTCAATCAATCAATTAACCAAGAACACTAAAAGTTATTTAATCCACGTAAAATCCTATAAAAATATCTATGGTGTTCATGGAATAAGATAAATAACAACAGGTATTGGACAGAAGCAAAAAATGATACGATTGGATATTTTATATTTGGAGCAAGGATAAGTGATGAAACCTCGACTCAGATTGGAACCACGGACGACGACGTATACAATTGTTGTAGATTCAATTACATTTGTTAATGTTAATTTTTCAAATTTCTCCTCCTTGCCAGAGACCCACTGAGAATGGAAAAAGTGTTTTCCAGAAAGTTAACTCTGGGCAAAAATTAATAAAACTACTATACTTTTTGTGAACGATTATTTCCTTATCCCAATATATTACACACTCACATTTGTATATTGATTATTATTATAATATATTGATTTATACATGATGTTTTGAAATGGTTTAATTGGATTAAGAATTTGTTTTTTCTGGTTTAATAATCATGGCAAGAAATTTAATTTAGCATCATGATGCAATGACAATTTATTTTTATTTTTTTTTTTGAATTTCAATATTAATGCATCCTTTTTCTGAAATCGATATTCTGCCCTTTTACACATTTTGGAATGGAGATTAATTCCCGCGTTATTGATGATGTTGGGATGGGGATGTCAGCCTGAAATCGGATTGCCATGGAAATACGCTTGTTGAGGGAGAGGTGATCAGCCGAAGAAGACATTGCAACGATTCCGGCATATTATTTATGCCGGGGATTCGCCTAAAACGCAAGCACCTGTAATCTTCCTTCGGACGTAGTTCAGCATTTTACCGTTTTTTTTCTCGGTCACGGAATAAACGATAAGTTGTTACGAAATTACCTTCTTTATCGTTCATTGCTCCTTTCTCAGTCTTGGACGTGTCAATTACTTTACTTGTTCCCGTTCTTGTACTGGAAGTTGGAAGACTAATTGTTGTCACAAGCAGGGCTGTACCGCGTACAATAGAAATTTTTTACTTTGCAATTGCTGTGAAAACTTGACTTTGCTTTTCGATCGTATTGAGAAGCATTTTACAGTGTCAGTTGCATATAAGTATAAATTTATTTGTCTCAGCCGTCATATTGTGGTTCGCATTCCTTAATTATTTTTGAATCGATTATAAGCTTATGAGAAGCTTTGTTGAAGTTGTGAAATGCTTGAAACATCCGTCCGTGTGTTTGCTGCATCTGCTAATTAAAACACTGGTTTACACTTGGGACACTACAGTAACGATTATATAGAAATAATTCGACAGGAATTGATACTTGAAAGGAAGGTATTTATTTTCTGTCGCGCGAATCATTGCCACCTAGCAATTGTTGTCGAGTAGGTTTCGAAAGGCCTGGTTGGTGGTATGGTGCTCGTTGAAACTACTGAAACGTCCGACACTCGCGTAATTTTGGGCTGGGGACGATTCAAACTTCTCAAAGGAGATAACCTTGTGTTGCGATTCCTAAGTTGATAAACGAATTTAATATTGATAATATTACAATATTTTCTATTTGGGAATTCAAGCAATTGATGATAACAATTCTCACTTAATCTTGTATCTATTGGGCGTTTGTTACTTCTAGGAAACTTTACGAATGTAATTCACATTCATACTTACCGCATATAATGTACGACATTTCTTTGTTGCAAAAGAAACGCAGTCTTGCTTCAAGAGGTAATAGTTTTGGAACAACAGTTGTAGTTTGTTCCTCTGGTCGCATTTGAATGAGTACTTTTCCAATGTGCTTGGCACCTGCCATAAACCTGCAATATAACACGTTAATAACTATTGGAACGACACCGTTATGAACATTCTTTACGCATAGTGAAGCATTGTAAACATTATTTACAAAATGAGATAAAGAAAGAAAGAAAAAAATGAAAGAACAAAAAGAGAGAACAAAGAGAAAGAAAGAACAAAAAGAAAGAAAACGAAAGAAAGAAAGAAAGAAAGGACGAGAGAACGAAAGAAAGAAAGAAAGGACGAGAAGAAAAGTAGAACGAACGAGACCTCAGAGATCACACTACCGTAAGAGTGCAAAAATTGCGATTATTGTGAAAAAATATTTACATTGCAAAAAGTAGACAGTGCATTATGTATACAATATTTACTCCACGTGTAGACCTTTATCGTCGTTTAATGTGACCCCTTTATTACAACGAGAAACAGAATGATTTAAGAAGTAAGGAAGGGGTCCGGTTAAAGGGACGTTAACCTGTTAAGAGGGTGACTACTAGGATGTTATTAATAATTTTAATTGTAAAATAAAGATCAACATTTTGAATTTGCAATAGTTTTCTGACCCTATTAATGACATGCATTAACATATTAAAAATTACAATGATTTATTGAAAAAATAAGGTCAGAAAACTATTACAAATAAACGATATAAGACGTTAATA